GAAGCTCTTAATTCTCGAACTTTTTCAAGGAGGAGGGATGAATGCTCTTCATGACTTAGAGAGATTGGAATAGATTTTTGTGATGTGTGTGTGTGTTTTCGGCCGAAAATGAGAGAGAAGAGAGAAGAAGAGAGGGGTTTGCATGGAAAGATGAGATTGTATGGATGTTTGGAGTGTAAAACATGGATATCCCCCATGTAAAAGTGAGGTGTCATGGTAATAGTCAACTTCTTCCTCTTGGGCTTGTCTTGGGCCGAAATTTGGAAAGAAAAAGAGAGTATTGGGCTTTAATGCCCCTAAGCCCAATATTAGAGTTAGGTTTGATGATTGTAAGATATAAGTGTGATTTTTATACTTTGTTGGGCTAGTTTAAATTAATTATGGTTCATAATATTTAATTTATTTCATTCTAGGCCCACTATGGCCCAAAATGTTAAAATAAATGAACGTGGGTCCAATTAGAGCCCATTTAAAGGTTCTAAGCCCATGATAGTCAAATTGGAAGCTTATTGGTCCGTTGAGTCCAATAAGGAAGTCCTAGTCCAAAATGGACCTAAACAAGAACTTCTAGGGTTTCCAACTGCTTGTTGACTATTTGTAGTACTTGTATGGTGTATTGGATTGAAATTTTTTTGTCATAGAGTAAGCATCATACATGCTCTTAAGTTTTTGATTCAACATCTTACTTGAGTATAGTGATTACAAGACACAAAAATTTCTAGTTGTGACACAATCCTTATCATAAGTATAAGAATATCAAATTCTTGTTACTTATGCTAGATTCTAACATTTTATGCAATGATTCTTTCGTAAAGTCATAGCTCAAAATCATCAAGACTTGGTCAATCTCTATCAGAAACAATTCTATAGATATGATTTCTCTCACTCAAAGTACATTCCTTTGAACATCCTTCTTGCATAAAAGTTTCTAATCTAGACATAGATTCTCAATATCCAACTCCCAATATGGAAACATTTCCATATTTGTCAATTCATTCTTAATAGAATCTTATCTATTCATAATAATGTCATCCAATACCATACTTCCAACTACTCACAAGCGACCAATCCTCAGCGAGCTTTGGATCGTCCTTTGATAGTTGTTTAATTATTTTAGTCAAAACCGATTATAGTCCTTTCTCCCTCTAAATGCACTAGACATTTGGAAAATTTTAGAATGGTCAAATATAATAGCACTGGCAATCAATCCTATACCCAGAGCGTATGGGACACGATGCATAATGTCTTACATAAAGATATGATACTTTATCAATCTTCTGACATAATATTTTATGTGTCTCGTTCTTACAATTCGAACTATGAAGAGGGAATACCGAAATCATAATCGAAATTTAAGAACACACTATGTATCCTTTGACTAAATTTATTAAAATTTCTCAATCTAAGCTTTAGATTTTGAAATGAAGTACAATATTCTCTCCCTTAATTATAGCAAAACAACTTTTCAACCCTTACAACTTTGCAAAGTATAACTCTTGTTTTCTATAATTAATATTGCTAACTTCCAATACTTTCCTTAATAATCATACAAGCACAACATTTATGCTCCCACTAGCATGATGATTATTATCATATAAGTATAACACTTATGCTCCCACTAGCTTTGACATGTTTTAGAAAGCAACTGAACTTCCAGAAAACAATACTTATTGAATTTTTGAAGTTCATATTTCTAATACCTAATGCTTTGATAATCCTTTATCTAAGATTCTTATACACCTTTGCCTTAGATAGCTTATATGTGTGTATAAACAATTCAGACTAATTGCCAAATCTCACAATTCAAATTATGGAAAGGGATACCGTAACCATAATCGAATTCGAGAATACAATTTCAAAATCACTATCTTCTTAAAATCTCTCTTAGTGAAAGCATTTCCTCACACTCATTTTCATAAAGGAGGTAATCTTATGACACTTAGATTTTATGGTGTATGAGTTCCTGTCCATGCGAATTTGCCAAAACCAAAGTTTGCGACAAATCTAAACTCATATGGACCGAACTTTCTCAATCTTGATTTCTTGCCTTATGGTAATACAAGTGCCCACCATATCTTCCAAGTAGTTAAGTAGCTCACCCGTTCACATCAATGTACATTTCATTGATCAAGGTGCTTTCCTTTTATGCGTTCAAATGAGAACTCATAGAACTCACATGCATAATTAACTCAATTGGAATAGAACAGAAAAATAATGTCAACACGATAGGTCATAAACCTCAAGTCGTGTGCTAGTGATGATTGATAAGGTTTATTCTTGATTTTTTTCTTGAAACCTTTCAAGACCATTGAGACTCCCACTGACTCCTTGACATATAAGATTCTCTTGTCAATAAACATTTCTTTACAAACAAATATTCAAGAGTTAGTGTAGCTTTTATCAAGACAAAACACTTCACAAAATTGGTCCTAGTTGGTCTTTATCTTATCCAAGACATCACAACTTTCTAATTTCAAATGTGCAAGAATAAGAAAACCTTTTCCAAATTCCACATTTGATGAATGTTATAAACCTTCTTGAGACTTGTCACTCAATTCACAATCTTAACTCTAAGACTTGATATTGGAACGAAGTATGATTGACTTCTTGATTTAACCATTTCTTCAATTCTTGATTCCTCTTCTCAGACATACAATTTCACTAAGACTCACTTAGAGGATCAATTGAGATATGGTTCTTAATCATTAAGACCTATCATAAAACATAATAAAAGGTACTCTCCCTTCTTCTTAGAATAGAGAAACTTTTATCTTTCTGCCTACTTGATTCTTCTTTATTCGTTCTGCTATTTATTGAAACTCTTTCAATCAACTGAGAATTACACTTAATCTCATAAGTATAATCATATTTACTTAACCTTAGTAAATCATGACGAATATCTTTGTTACTCTTGTGGTGGACTTGATCAACACACAACCTTGTGTACTCGATCTCTTAGTCCTTCACTTGACACTTTGTCAACGAATTAGTCTAATTTCCAAATATGAAATTTCTCATTCATCATGCAACCAAGTTGTATGATTCCAAGTTTCTGTCTAATTGAAACTTGGGCGATGAGAAACTTTCCCTATTTGGTAAATTCTTGACATTTCCACAAATAACATAATTAATAATCAAATCCATTATTGCTAATAATAGAAACTTGCAAACATCAATTTTTCATATACGCCATTGCAAGGATAAATAAATAATATAAAAATCAAAATTTATTTTATTGCGGAAAAATTTGTCCTTACAATGCAATTCAACTGAAAAACTATGTTGTTACATATTCCTAAGCAATCTATTTTAACTCCAAGTAGTAGCTTAAGAATCTAATCTTCAAGCAATGCGATCGAAATCCATTTCTTCACGATTAGATTCAGCTTCACTTCTTCCCTTAAGCTTCCTTTCTTTTCTTCGATCCTACAAAACATCAAAATGTAATCTTATCACATCATGTATCAAGAATCTAGAATAGGAACTTAAAAGAGTTAGTTAATGGATTTCACCTAAAGTAGAGCCATATGTTTTGACTCTCCCATATCTTAGATCTCTTAGGTAAATAGAGCAGCTTCGTCTCCAATGCTCCTTTTCTTGGCAATATAAGCAAATGGACTCTTTTGGAATGGCACAAGGAACAATCTCATAATCTACTTTTTCTGGTTCTCCAATGTCACCATTTTCAATGTCCATTGAAGTTTGGGAGTTTGATTCACCAGACAAATTTGCTCGACTAACTCGCCAAATCATTGCTGATTCAGCAGCTATAAGCAAATAGGTCAAATCAATGAGGGTCACATCATGATCCATCATATAGTACTCTCTAACGAACTCACTATATGATTCAGGAAGCGACTGAAGAACCCAGTCAACAACCAACTTACCTAAAATCTCGACACCCAACATCCTTAACCTATCAATGTGTGACTTCATCTCTAAGACGTGTACACACATAGGTTTCCCATGTTTACTTGCCAAAAGGGCTTGAGTGAGCTTGAACTTTTCAAGCCTTTGAACTTGTGGGTTTGGGAGAATAATTGGAGGAGGTGGAGGAAGTAAAGCATGATCTCTTGTTCCCCGATCGAATCGTGGAATATCATCTTCATGTGGAAAACTTGTTCGACGGGATTTGGGAAGACCATAGTTGTCATACTTTGACATATACAAAATGGGAGAAAATTCAAGTCAAGTTGATCAGGATCCTCGATGTGACACCCAAATGAAACATTGAGTCTAGGATCCAACACAATACTCTACAATCCTAGAAGAGTGATGCCGTAATCTAGTTGCGGAATAGTAATTCGTTTAGAATGTAATTCGTTTCTTTTCCTTTGTTTCTTGAACATATGTTTACATCAATTAATTGACTGTCATTCTTGCTATATTTGCACGCAATGAAGGTACGGTTTTAAAAGTTGTTATTTTTTATTATATGTTTACACAATATGTTTCAATAATTTGATTTTACATTTCATTCAATCCATTCATTGCTTTCACTGTTTCACATGGCAATTGCTATCTACTCTAATGCTACACGAAAACCATGATAACTATGCATTTTATGAGTGGATAAACGAATTGGTTATTTTTACGTGAATAGTCCCATGACAACTTTTATTCAACAACAAATTATATAATGGAATTATATATAATTTTTGTCTTTTTTTTTGACAACTTTTATTCAGCAACAAATTATATAACAGAATTATATATAATTTTTGTCTTTTTTTGATAAATTGTATAACAGAACTAAAAGATTACGGTTTTTCAGCAACAAATTGTATAACACAACTAAAAGAGTATGGATATAGATTTTACTTGATCTGTATATTCATTATTTTGAATTTCATTTCATTACTTTTTTACTGTATTTTGATTTCCTGTCATTTTACATTAGGTTATCGGCTTGGTTGTTCTTTGATAATTAGTTCAACTTGTTTTACATTCGTTTTTCCATCCGTGTCATTTTATATATGTTGATTTTTCTGTGCAAAGAAATGGCACAGCCAAATGTTACTTTGATTTCGGATTTAGATATACTTAAAGATGATTTGACTATCAAAGTTAAAGTGATAAACCTATGGAACCTTTTTTCATTGTATAACAAGGATGAATTTTTCTCGATTGAATTAACCTTAATAGATGAACAGGTATTTTACAACTTCACACTATATATTCATTACACATTCAAAATTTAATATGATTTGATGATAATTTTATATATCATACTTCTTTTAGGGTACCAAGATCCAAGCAAATGTATTAAGATAAAACATCTATCGATTCAAAAACATTCTAAAAGATGGCTTGGCATTTTACATACAATGTTCAAGCTTTGAATCTCAAAGGATGGGTGGTTTTACTTTAACTCGGCAACATCATAAACTTACTTTTGTCCATAACATCATTCTTACGGAGTGTCATGACTTTTCTGGACCTGCGTTTGGTTTTGAATTTGTTAATTACCAGTCTATTATCTCATTGACCCATCCTGAAAACACCGCTACCGGTTAGTTGCATTTTGTTATAGATTAATTATTGTCAATTTTATGGTTTGAATAGTATATCATATTTTTAAAATGATAACAAAATATAATTCATCTTTTTTGATGTTCATAGATGTTAATTGGATTGGTCGTTGCAATTGGTGAGATGGGTAGAGACAATGATGATATCAAAAAACACAGACTCAACATCCAAATCCAAGATGCAAAGTTTGTTATTTTATATTTTATTTTATTTTTTTGGATATTAGATTATCTAATTATAATTTCATTTAATTTAAAACTTTTATTTGGCAGTGGTTTGCAACTAAGTGTCAATTTGTGGGGTGATTTTTCTTACAAAATGCAAGGGTTTCTTGATAACAATCCACACAATCTTCGTATCATCGTTATCATTCAACTTGCGAAACTTAGTATTTGGAGAGGTATACTATAGTATTTTGTTATTAATTATTTTTTTAATCATTAAATTAACACTTATTAAAATCTTTTTTATAAATCGTCCCACAATTAACACCTATTTTTCCGTGTCGAAGCTATTCATTAACACAGACATTGATGAAATTAATGTTTTTAAGAAAATGTATTTTATGTTATATCATTCTAATTTCTCCGATTAACTTTTATGTCACTAATATTAGTTATATGTGATTAATATTAGTCATTTGTATTATTTCATTATAATTTCTATATTTATCTTTTATGTGATTAATATTATTTACTTTTCTTTATTTCATTCAAATTTCTACAATTAATTTTTATGTGACTAATATTAGTTAATTTTTTTTTAACAAACAATTTGGATGGAGATGATCGCCCTGATTCATCCACAAATACATTCACACTTATGAAGTCTAATAAGTTTCTGAACACGATGATTTCATGGTTAAGTTTCAGTTGAAGACAATTGTTGATGTTTCAGAACCTGTGGAGGTGTGGTTTTTATATATTTTATAATATTTATAAACCTACTTTTTTGTTATGTATATTGCATAATCAAAATAAAATTAATATGCAGAAAAATACTTTCATTATCATGGGCACTATAAAGGGAATTTTACAAAATGAACCATGGCATTATTTGGCATGTACAAATTGCAACTACAAAGCAATTCGGCCTCTTGGTCCAAAAGATCAAGTTGATGATGAAGGATTAACTGGTTATGAATGTCATAATAAGGATTGCACAAAAAACAAAACTACGGTTATTCCGAGGTTATTATTTTCCTCCTGAATCATTAAAACCTATATTATATTTTATATTGTAATAAATATATTTTGGATTTTCCTTTTTTATAGATATAAGATTCCGATACGTGTGCAAGACAATACCGGTACTCTTACCTTAACCATGTTTGAAAGAGATGGAAAGTATCTTTTGAAAAAATCAGCCCATGATCTGTTTAAAAAAATAGTCAAGGTCGTCTTCCTTTATTAAAATTAAATGATACATTTACTTAATATATTTAGTTTAACTAAATTTTTTTTACTTTTTTTTATTGTTGCTTGGTTTTAGTACTCAACTTTATCCCGAAGAGATAAATGCATTGAAAGGTTTGAAGTTAGCTTTTAAAATATCAATCAGTCGCTTCAATGTCTCGAAAAAACAACCAATACAGTATATGTAGAGTCAGTGATGATGAAAAATTGATTGAAGAACTCGAAAATAAGTTTACCGTTTCACAGGTCATTAATTTATTTATTATTATTATGCTTAATATTTTTACTATTCTTATAAAAAGATTTATTATTATTATTATTATCATTATATTATGTATTACTATAACTACTATTATTTATTATTATTATTATTATTATTATTATTATTATTATTATTATTATTATTATTATATGTGTTCATATTTTTTATTATTTATTATGCAGGTAGGTAATTCACAATCATTTGATATTGGTGAAGCTGATTTTGAATCACAAGATAATAAGATTTTGAAGGTTATATACACTTTATAATAGCATATAATTATTTTATAAATATAAGTGCAGATTATAAATTAATTAAGTACAAATTTTTTTAGGATGCAATTTCTAGGACAGACGACAACATAACACCTTACACTGTTGATAAAAACTCAGCAACAAGTCCCATGAAGGGTTTCAATACACCAACTGTTTTGAAGAGAAATCTGGAAGAAGTGTTTGATCTGGAGTTGAATGAACATTTATCATCATCAAAAACTCCTAAAATATCGCCAGAAGGACGCATTAACCAGATTGTGAAGGTAAAGTTGGAAAAAAGAGGTTGGCTTTTTATTTTAAGTTTAAGTTTCATTAGGTATTGGATTATGATTTATAGACAATGATTATGCATTTTACTTTTCATTAAGTACTTTCACGTTTTGTTTTAGAATTTTCAAACATTTGTTGGGGATGATTGTTTTTTATTAGTATGTTTAACCTACATTCATAATATATTATTATGAATGTTAATTTATGATTTAGAAATAATTTTGTTATGTAAGTCACTTATGATCTTGGAATAATTTTGTTATTTAACATACACCACATTTATTTTTTAATTTTCAAACATATATTATATAGACTTCTATTTGTAGCAGTTGTTTACATTTGACTTTGAATTTGGGTGTTTCTTATTCCTATTCTAAAGTAGCCTAGTCTTTGATTGTGATTGTGCTTCAAAATGAGATTGACCGAAGATCTTAATTCTGGTTGATTACAGGTTGTTTATTCATTGATATTTCCAACTTTGTAGGAGGACGAAAATAACACAATTTAAATTTCACAAATCAAATATTTACAAAAAACGAAAACAAATACAAAAAAATTCAATCATATTATTATTACCTGAAGTAAAACTCTAAAAGATTGAGGTTTTGTTAGCTGACCACATTTCAAGAATGATGCCCACAACTTTAGATTCTTCCATATCTAAAGAAAACAAGAAATTATTAATTTTGTTAGTTAAGTAATATATATTGCTACCTATAGCACATTTCAAAATACAATGCTTATTTTGGAACCAATTATTCCTCCTGGAGTGAGAGAAACAATTATTGATTTAGTGGTTTAAGAGAAAAATTAATATATATTGCTATAAAAGTGTAAACAACAATTTTTTGATAGTAGAATGTTATAATAGGAATAAATAAAGGTACGATACCTAACGAAAAATTAACATAATTAAAGTTCATTACCATTTTTGTCCAATTATCATTTGTCTAGGCTACACATACCACCTACCTGTCAATTTAAGAATATTGGTTATAAAATACTAAATATTGTGTATTACATATGTTGATTAAAAGATATGTTAAATAATAAGAAATATAAATAAATAAAATACAAAATTTTTATCTCAACTAAATATCATCTTAGGGTTGCCATCTTTTAATGAAGAATTGTGTATTAACAGATTCAATACATTCTAAAATATTATGCAACTCAAATAGCCCCCAAGGTTTCGATATTCAATTAAAATGTGTTTGATACAAATAATTGAATTTAACATATAAATTAATTGTACCGATTGCTATGTTTTAGGCAATATAATTAATGATAAACAAATCTAATTAATAAAAGAAGCATTGTTATTTTTCATTTTAACCCTTCTGCATAAAATCCTAAATAAACATCTATGCATGCACTTATACATCAAGTAATTAGAGTTTTAATAAACTATATCATCAATCAACCATTTGAATCATATTACTAATACACTTTGTTGTCAAATAAGCTGAGCACTGTCCACTTTTCCAACCGGCTACGTGAAAGCAAAAAGGGAAAACCATTCCTTTTTCAATAATGGAGTTTGGAATCTTTCCCTTCCTAACCTTTTAATCTAATTAACTATTCATCTGTATTATAAATACTTAAATAATATAATATCTAATGTGATATATAGATAATAAATAATTATCAATAGCAGAATTATACCATTAGACAATTAGACATGGATTGGTGCATAAAATAACTCACTTTTTAAGTTTATTACATTTCAATGTTCGTTGCCCTTGGCTATGGTATATTGCAATCTAATATAACTTATATGGATTTCTGCAATTTATCACATACCATATTTATTAGCCTACAAGATAATGAAGCAGTAGTAAAAAGTAAGTGATTTTGATTGAAATTGGGATTAAAGGTATGCAAAAAGATAAAGTTTGATAAAAATGAACAATGATTTAAACTAATATAAGTATCTTGACACACAGTGACCCACCAAAACATCGATTCTTGATCACAACTGAAATATGGATCAGATATGGATTATCTGTATTATACATAAAATTGAAAACCTTACTATACAATGATACAAAACTCATATAATTTAGAAGGTATATCAAAGAAAATAATTGTTTTATTTACTCATATGATCCCCTAAATAATCATTAACGAGATTTTGTCTAAAATTTAGCAATTTCAAAATTCAAATGTTTAAACAAACACTCAAATTTCAAAAATCGAACCAAAACCATTTCTACCTTATTGTGTTTCCGCTATTAACGAATGTGAGTTTATTCTTTTGAACGACTTAACTTTTCGCTTATATCTTCAGTCACAACATTTCTGGAACAAAGAAAAACATGTAAATTTTCTTCAACATAATCTATTTTCTGTTAAAAAAACTAAGATTAACCATCAGTTGATCATCTCTTACCTTGAATCTGGCTTTCTTCAAACCCCAATGTTGCGTTCAACCATTCTCTGAGTTCAACAGCAAGATTACTCAACGTAAGCTTTTCTTCACTTCACATTTCTAATCGGTGGTATATTAGTATCTTCCTTTATCGATATACATGGATAAACGTTCACAACCTTTAAGAAATCGAACGGTAGCTATGGAAATGTGTATGTAATCAAAATTCTAGGCTGGGTTTTTTGTTTCATCGTGTGTGTTACAGACAAAAGGGAAAGGGGAAAGTTTGGGGAATAGTGATAACTTTTAGGTGGGTTTTATTATAAATAAAAAATTATGAATAATCTTTAAAATGGTTAAAATTAAATTTATTTAATTTCTCATGTATTTGATTTACTTTATGCATAAATACGGTTTTAAATGTCAACCCGGATATCTTAAACATTTAAATACATTAGCTGTAATGGAATTTTCAATATATATATATATATATATATATATATATATATATATATATAGAGAGAGAGAGAGAGAGAGAGTCAAGATCAAATAAGAAGGAAATTTTTGGTAGGAAGGTAAGAAGTTTTTTTTTCTACATATTTTTTTCGCGAACAAACAAAATGAATCATTAGATGATTCATTTATAAGATGATTCACAAGAAAAAAATTCTCAAAAAACATCTCGATGATTCATTTATATAATGATTTTGTTGTTATTCACTAAAATTGTCATAAAAGTGGATTTTTTCTTAATTTACTTAAAAATGAATCATATAGATGTTTTTTTGAGAATTTTTTCTAGTAAATCATCTTACAAATGAATCATCTAGTGATTCATTTTTTTTGTTCGGCAAAAAAATATGTAGAAAAAAAAACTTCTTACCTTGCTACCAAAAAAAATTTCTTACCGGATCTCTCTCTCTCTCTCTCTCTCTCTCTCTCTCTCTATATATATATATATATATATATATATATATATATATATATATATATATGGGTAGTGGAATTTCCATTGTATTATAAAAATCGAGCATGAACAATGATAAAAATACGTTATCACTTTCTCTAACATAAAAAAAACCACTTTTATGATCGATAAATATATTATGTTTCTCCAATTGTATTGTCATATAACATAATTTCCGCATTATGATTTATAACTATCTTTTGTTTGTTATTATTATTTAATTTCTTAATTGAAGTTTATTTGGATTATATAAGTTACCAATCATTTGTAATAGTTATTTTAAAATTATTAATTTTTATAAGTTAACTTTATTGATTTTATTATATATCAAAGAAGAATATGGATGCTACATATGCTAGAGAAAGAAGAAGAAAGAGAAAGTTATACTTGAATAATAAAAAATCTAAGAATAACTATACCGTGGAATCGTCTCAAGCGTATATCTATTGCACATGCTACTCACTTTAGCCAATATGGTAATTTTCTTACTTTGTTTTAAATATTGAATATATTTTATTTATTTATTTGTAATCTATTGTTCATAATTATTTTAAAAATAAATAAATTTTTATAAAATATAATATATTTAATTTTATATAAAAAATGTTCTTAAATTATTTACTATTATTTTACAGGTTCAATTAACACTACAGCTTCTATAAACGCTAAAGAAAGGAGAAAAATTAGAAAGTTATATTTGAATAATAAAAAATCCAAAGTAAATTCTAACACATCTACCCATCAAAAATCACCTATTACACATGTTTCTTACATATTAAATAACGGTATTGTTATTCTTTTATTTTATAATTCTTTTTGAACTATATAAATTATATCAAATTGCTAAATTCTAAAGTTTAATTGTTTTTTTATAATTAATTTTATTGGTTTTATTACTAACAATATTTCATAACAGATATCTACAATCGTTGTAGTCATTTAGTATCTATAGATAACTACAGAAACGTTACATCAGATAACAAAAATCTAAACTCAATCAAATCATTTGTATATCAACATACAGCTATTCATTCTCAGTCTGCAGATATAAATGTTAGAACTCCTTTATCTAACATTTCAAATGGTATGCATTTCTTTATAGACAGATTCTAAAATATATGTTTACCAGTTATATAATTTATACAAACTCCTAACGTTATAATTTGTATTTTTATTTTTTCAGGAAATTATATTTTTCATAATAACATTCAAACACCGTTATCTATTAACAATGATAATCCATTGTTGGGTATTCGCATGACATCTACCGGTCGTCCAACCATCACTCAAAAATCTTCATCAATCAAGTTACCAAAAGGAAAAACATCAATTAAAAAGAAAGACTACAAACATATCTGCTATATCTATGATTGACTTGACATTAGATGAAGAAATTAATGATGACCATATTATTGAAGATGTTTTTCGCGGTACTTCACAAGGTGATCATAAATATAGAAAATTTAATATTTTTATTTAATATATTTAATTATATTCATTATTTTTAATTTATTTATGAGATTCAACAGATTACTTGGATCATGGAGACCAAGATTGTCATATGTCAAATTTGTCATGCAAATAAACTATCCAATGTTATGTTAAATTACTTTTTACAAATATATAAAACTGCGTATACTTTTATTATGTATATCAATTTATCTTTCCATTTTATTTAAATTTTATTGCATTATACAAAATGATAATTTTCTAACATATCTACAAATACAAATTGCTAATTGGATATTTAAACATTTTTGAATTCTTAGTTTCAACCGAACATTATATTATTATGAAATTACTGACAAAACGTCACTCAATAATTATGGTATTAATTAATTTAAATTATTTTTAAAATTTTCAATAATTAGTTTATAAATAAATTAAAATTATTTTTAAAATTTTCACCCGTAGACACCACGAGTTATAACCTAGTATATATATATATATATATATATATATATATATATATATATATATATATATATATATATATATATATATATATATATATATATATATATATATATATAAAATACATTTTTAATTTTTTTAAGTCACTATCGACTTATAATTATAAAATGAATAATCATCATAAAAGAATATTTAGCGGATTTTGAATTTATCGCATTCTTACATCCGAAGTCGTTGCTTTTATCTCCCACCTTGCCGCTACCGTTGTCATCTTCTTGGTTTTCCATCAGGTAAATTATCAGCAGATCACAGGTACTCAGCGCATTTGTTCTCTTTATCTCTGTTCTCTATTTTATTGCGTGCTATATCTCCAGGCAGAAACATAAATTGTATAATAATGAAGGGGGAATGCGAGATTCGTGATTGCTGTTGAATTGGGGTTTAATTGAATGTTTGCTTTTAAATTTTGATTTGTTTGTATGTCGATAAAGTTTTTGCTCTATCTACTGATAACACTACTAAAATAAAAAGTAATCTGTATTCAACATCACTTTATAAAGAGACCCAAATAATATTTTTACTATTTTCATGGTAGATTGGCATTTGATTTCGTTACTTTGTTTTCTTGGGTATTATAATAGATAATAAATACAAACGACCAAGACTTCTAGGTCTATGAACGTCTAATCCGGGGCAATTTATTCCAATTCGTCATTTTTAATTTGCCTTGCTCTTTGTTCCAAACACGTATGCCACCAGTTTGAGATCACCTACTTAGAATCATTCATCCTCACAGTTGAGACTATATAAACCCTCATGAGGGCAGTTGATATACAAACCAAAAAATCAGCAAGAGTTTCATTTAGACATTATGACTCCTTGTGTTTTTATAATTTTCTCACTTCTTTTGCTACTCACTGTGACTACAACTTCCAGCCAATTGGTAAGAGTGGGAAAAGGAGGGGTTGATGCAGATGTTGTGATGAACAAGTGTTTGGATAAGGAGATACACGCTCTCCTTCTTTTTAAAGCTCCCCTTAAAGACCCTGATGGTGGTCTCTCTACTTGGACAGCTGACGAACATGACTGCTGTAAATGGAGAGGAATTACGTGCAACAACCAAACAGGTCATGTTACAAAGCTTGAAATCAGCAACTCTGGTCTTGTAGGTGAGATTAGCCATTCTTTGCTTAATTTAAGCTATTTGAATCATTTGGATCTTTCCATCAATTCTTTTCATGGAAACATTCCCATCTTCATTGGTTCCATGACCCAATTAATTTACCTTGACCTTTCCGATAACTCCTTTTATGGAACCATTCCTCCAGAATTTGAAAACCTCACCAACTTGCAACACCTTCAACTTAGTTACGTTGGAAGATGTAGAGTTGAAAAGATAGAGTGGTTGTCTAATCTGTCTCATTTGGAGAAACTTGAATTAGATGGGATTTCCCTAGCCAAACAAAATCACTGGGTAGATGTAATTCTGAGTCTCCGGAAACTCTCATATTTATCTTTAGAGGGATGTGAGCTGTCACAGGTGATGTATCCATATTCTTCTTCATTTCTCAACTCTTCTTCTTCTTCTTCATCTATTGAAGGCCTTTATCTTGGAAACAACAGTCTCACCTCATCCATGTATCGTTGGTTGTTCCTATTAACCAGCAATAAGCTTGGCTATCTTGATCTCTCTTACAACATGTTAGATGGGATACCCAAATATCTTGGTAACCTCTGTAGCTTGGAGTATTTGGAAATCAGTAACAACTCGGCTGCTGTCCAATTTCCTGATTTTCTCAACAACTTGTCTGGATGCACATCCCTTTCATTACAATGGTTGGATGCTTCTGATAGCCAATTTATAGGATCATTGTCCAATGATATCCAAAAGTTTTCATCCCTAGAGTACTTGGACTTATCTCATAATCACTTAAATGGAATTATAAGTGACAAACTGTGGGAACTACCGGGGCTTGGATTGCTTGACGTTTCTTTTAATAATCTTACAGTTCCTTCCACATATCACTTGCCAAGCCTTTCTTATGTAAAGGAAATTTATGTAAGCTCTTGCAAGGTAGGGCCTGGCTTCCCCAAATGGATTCAGACACTCAAAAATCTTACCCATCTTGATCTTTCCAATACTGGAATTTCAGACACCATTCCTCTGGAGTTTTGGGACACGTGGCCTTCTCAATTAAAATATCTGAATCTCTCTTCCAACAACATTAGCGGGAAAGTACCAGATTTATTATCAAGTTTTGCCAACGGTTCAAAGATAGATTTGAGTTCAAACAACTTTCACGGTCCGATACTAAATGTTTCTTCTACTTTGTCATTATTAAATCTTTCCAGAAACAAATTCTCTGGAGGGATCGCCTTTATATGTCAGATTGTTGATGGGTTCTCTTCATTTCTTGACCTCTCTCGCAACATATTTATTGGACAACTCCCAGACTGTTTGTGGCATTTCAGAGAGCTAAAAGTTCTTAATCTGGGACACAACAATCTCTTTGGAAGGCTTCCTCCCTCTATTGGATTTTTGACAGAACTCCAGGTGTTGTATCTATACGATAACAACTTCTCTGGAGAATTGCCTTTGTCTTTAAAAAATTGCACAAGTTTAATCTCGTTGAATTTGGGGGCCAACAAGTTTTCTGGTAATGTGCCTGTTTGGATAGGAGAAAACCTATCAGGGCTGTATGTTCTTATCCTAAGATCAAACAACTTCTTTGGAACCATCCCTTTACAATTAAGTCAGTTAGCTAATCTTCAAATTTTGGACTTGTCAATGAACAATCTTCAAGGAACCATCCCCTCATGTTTTAGTAATCTTACGAGCATGATTCAACCAAGATTCTCACAAGATGTAAAGTTTTATACACTTGTAAGAGGTGTTGCATATGGATCGGGGATATATGTTGACCATGCAATGATTGAGTGGCAAGGAGATGAACATGAATTCTTTAACACTCTGAAATTGTTGAAGACCATTGACCTGTCAAGCAACAAGTTAACAGGACAAATCCCATATGAAATTACCAATCTTTCAGACTTGATTGCCCTGAGCTTGTCAAAGAACTCTCTATTTGGAGAGATTCCACAGAAAATTGGTGAGATGAAAAAACTTCTGACTTTGGATTTGTCTAGAAACAGTTTTTCAGGGCAGATACCATCAAGCATGTCTCAGATGACTTTACTGAATGACCTAGACTTGTCATTTAATAACTTTTCAGGGAGAATTCCATCTAGCACTCAACTCCAGTCCTTTGAACCTTCAAGATATGATGGGAATTCACAACTATGTGGACTTCCCCTTACCAAAAAGTGTCCTGGAGATGAAGAATCAGAAGTCCCACCAATCGTTGGTAAAAGTAAGAGTGATGCGAAAGACATAGATGAATTTTGGGGATGGTTTTATGTTGGTGGGGGAACTGGTTTTGCTATTGGATTTTGGATAGCATGTGGTGCTTTACTTCTCAACCACCGAGGGAGACGTGCATTTTTTCACTTTTTTGATAGCTGCAAAGATTGGGTTTAGGTGAAGGTGCTGATGCGCATTTCAAGTTTGCATAAAGCTAGACAAACATAGTTTGTCATCTAGTTTTTATTTTTGATTTCTTATTTTCCAATATGTAATTTTGCTGGAGGTTTTAAGTCCTCCATATTAATAAAGTTGCCACCAACACCATGGGTGGCCATTTTCTCTGTTTTGTATGAAATAAGATATCCTACAAAATTCAATACATTTCGTAGCATCTAAAAAACAAGAAGAAAGTTAGAGGGACACTAAAAAACAAAAAACCAAACCCGACTGCTGTAGAAAAAAATGGTTTCATACAAATCGATTTCATTTGAAACCGAGTCGCCGGTTTAGTAATGGTGTAAGTTAGAATCCATTAGATATCATATTTCGATAGCAGTTGCACTTCCATTACATTTCATAATGTAAACATGATTAGTTTTGGCTCTTTGCATCAGTTATAAATGGAAATCGAAATTGTAATTTACACTTGAGTTTATAGTTTCTACTATTGACTTGTCTGTTCTATTTGCAGCACATGGCCCCTACAGATCAACTAATTTTCAGAAAGAAACTGTTGAGATTAAAAGGTACTAAATACCATCTGAACTTGCATTTTTTCCAAGTTCTCCTAAACGATGGAAAATATTGCTTGCTAGTTTTCCAAATTTAACTGTGAAATCTTTGTTCCAGGTTGTGAATTATGAAAATCATGTGACGATTCAAAATTAAAGAGCAAAGCGGAAAGTTTTGTTAGTGTTATTATGGATGATAGTTTTGTGTTTTGGGTTGATGTCACTGTTTCCCCACAACCTATAGGTTTTGATCTCATTTGGTCACTCGTTTATCTTTTTGTCATTCAAAGTCCTAAACTTTCAAGAAATATATCAAAAAGGTCATTATTAGAAGGAAGAATGGGATATCCTGTTATAAGATGACCTGACATTCCATATAGAACTTACTTACATGGAGGTTTAAGTGGCGTCCACATGGCACTTTCTCTTTAATTATATTAGGTGTGAAACCTGTATACTACACATGTTGATTAAAATTAAATTAAATACCAAGGTGTAAACATTAAGCAATTTTAAAACTAAAATTTTGAAAAAAATACAAAGAAAATGGTGAATAAGTAAGCAATTCAATCTATAATAATAAAATAAAAAAAACTATTGATATTTTAAATAATTGTGTTGACTTACAAATTTCCAAAGATTTTTTTTAATACAACATTAGATGTCCTATTGCTAAGTTACTATCATTCTCTAAAATTAATATTTTTAATCAATCTATGCTTTTAACTTATGAGTGAACACTGTAAAAACAACCCCGCATTCGATAAAGATTTTCCAAGACTCTTGTTTATTGTAAACGCAAAACATACAACTAATGGAAATTATCTTATTTGAAATGTGAAAAGTATCCTTTTAATAGAAATCATCATAGATTACTTCCGGACATTATCTTTGCTTCTATAATATGATTGCGGAATGTTATAAAAATACATTACTATATTGGATTAAAAATATAAATACATTCATGCTGACTTAAAAATATAAGTACATGGCTATTTTTGGCTTAAAACTAATTAAGATTGTTGTTTTGGGGATAAAATAAAAGGAAAAGTACTTTGTTTTTGTTAAAAAGTTAAAATACGATTGTTTTGATTTAAAACTACACAAACATATTGTTCAAAGAATTTAACAATTATAAAAGGCGAATAACTTTAAATCAGTCAAGACATTTTTAATTTATAACGCGTTTCTAACATCTTTATGATTATATTATGGGTTGTTAATCCCCAAATCTCGTGAAGTAAATATTACAAATCACAACATAATTCATTATATATTGTCTACTTTTCTATTACAATATGAGGAGTCATTTTAAGAAATTGGGATTTTAGATAGGCATGAAAAAAATTTGAAGATCACATAAAGCACTAGAAAATCAAAATATTTTCATAATACAGTGTAAATACAAAATACTTATTCTTAATAAAATCAAAAACATTTTTTCAAGCTTTGATCATTTTGGTAAATGAAAAAAAGATGTATAAGAATATATTTAGTCGTCAATATATAATAAAAGTTTATATCGGCTTCTTAATTGTAACTTTGTTTATTTACTAAACTGCCCATGTTCTTTATCTTTGTTTTGATTTTAACAACTTTTGCCTGAACAACTTAGATGCTGGATAATATTCAATGTAGTAAATCTTCAGTTGTTTCCTTTGAAATCTTCCCAAGGGAGACGGCCACATCTACTCTGTGCTCTAAGTATTTCTTTGTCAGAATCATGATTGCAGTAAGCAAAAGGTCATTCAAGATTCTATTAAAGGTAAACTTTATAGGGAAAAATCCTCTACCTACCATTTATATTAACAACTTTCACGCCATCACTAAATCAACAGTCTCTTCTAGACTAACATTACAATGATTAAATTATTGCGTGTTCCTCTTCATTTTAAATGGGTTTCAATCTACAAACCTTTCAAGCATCAGAGAGCGTTTTCATTCTAACGTAAGTATATTACTCATTAAAACCTTAAGAAACAGAAAAACTACACCAATGTTAAACAATATCTTATAGGGGAAAATGTCACTATAGCCCAACTAACCTAGAGCTTTTGGTTTAAAATGTCTTTTTTTCGCTTTCTAAGGATATGAAGTCCAATTTAGAAGGGTTAAAAGGTCACTATTTTGATAGGGAAGTCAGCAGGTATCATTTGCCACTTCAATTAACAGCTTGCCACATCACTTACCACGTCAATTAAAATGTAACGACCCAAAAATCCAAGGTAAAATTTTCATTTTTAATATAGGAAAAACACTTAATAACTTTGTTCCGGACACTAAAAACATTTCAATTAAAATTAATATCAGAGTCTAACCCGGTATATGCATTGCGATCGTCCCGAACTCCTTTATTTGAAAACTGGAGGTATCTGAAACAAAAACTGAAAACTAAAACATTTCAATTAAAATTAATATCAGAGTCTAACCCGGTATATGCATTACGATCGTCCCGAACTCCTTTATTTGAAAACTGGAGGTATCTGAAACAAAAACTGAAAACTGCATGCATGAAGCTTAGTGAGTTCCCCAAATACCACATAACATACATATCAATCATATCCATACATGTCATGCATAACCATGAGCTATACATCAATCATAGTCATATAAGATGATATGCGTCGCACATACTCTTGCCGTTATGACACGGGCCGCCTCGTGGTCTTTCTTGTCAAGTTGGGGGCCACCCCCTGGGTCCTATAGACAAGTGCCAGTAACCATCTCCGGGTCTTCCATGCAAGTACCACAAAGACAAATAGTGTGCAATCTACTCTACTTAGCTAATAGCATACAGTGTGTTAGGAGCTGCCTCATGGTCTTTCATACATAGTGCCAAGGGCTAACCTCCAGGTCTTCCTACAATACATAAACCAAATAGGTCGGCCTTGGTGCCTTCAACCCATACAAATAGTGAGGAGAGTCACCTCGAATGTAGAAGCTCGCTGCACGAAATCCCTAGTTGCTGCCTTGACGATTTCCCAAACTAAGAATAACCAAAACAACCTCTAGTTAGCAATTGAATTCCAAACCATGATCCATAATCCACACTTGGGGTAAAATGACAATTTTACCCCCGACATAACATGAACCAAAAGACGAGGCCCAAGCCCAAAATCAAAAGTGTAACGATCGTTTCCGAGGTATAAAAGTTATTTAATTCTTCAGTTTAGTTTGGGCCATAACTGAATTAATATTGTGAGTGGACCTTTATTTTGGGCCGAAGAGTAAGCAGCCCATAAGCCGCACGCGGGGCGTAACCCCCTTGTACGCTGGGCGTACTGCTTAAATGAAACGCGGGGAGGCTAAGCGTACGCACAGCGTACCTTAAGGTACGCCCAACGTACGCGACCAGGTGGCAAACCCTAATTTTAGGGGTTGAAGCGTATTTAAACCCCATTATAGCCTCCCATTTGGACTCCTCACTTATCATTCATTCCAAAGAAACCCTAGTTCGTCCCCCTTTGCTCCTTGTTTGTGTGTGTTTGATCTTTGAGCTTATTTTTGTGAAGAAAGAAAAGAAGATAAGTGGAAGAATAAGAACTTGAGCACCTTGAGCTCATAGATCTGGGATCATCCTTTCTTTTGGCATTCAAAAGAGGTATAAAGCTTCCAACTTTCCTCTTGTAAGTTTAGATCTAGGAGTTTTTGGAAGTTTGGACCTTTAAGGTCAAAAGCAGGGACCTTTATCTAGCAACTTCTTTTTTGGAGCTTGGGATTGCTATCCTTGAGGCTCAAGTGTCCCCATAGTAGTAAAATTTCGATCTTTGTGGCTTATATGGAACCATGCATGAGATCTAGTTGGTTTTATGGAAGTAGAATGTTATTTGTGGAAGTTTGAGCCTTTATGAGACTTGTAAGCCATCAAGTAAGCAACTTTATGGATTAAGTCATGGAACAAGCTTAGGATCTGGATTTGTAGCTTCTGGATCGAATTATTAAGCACTTAATGGGATGTTGGCTTAACAAAGCTATACGCTGGGCGTACAAGGAAGTACGCGTCGCGTACAAGCCAGCAGCCAGTACGCTCAGCGTACCTTGGTGTACGCCCCGCGTACGCTACCAGTTTGGGCTTCGAGTGTTAGGCCTCGATGTGGGCTGGGTTTCAGGCTTAGGGTCCTTGGGCCTTTATGGCCCATCAGAATTCAGTTGCTAAGGACCAAGGATTTAGTATTGAGCTTGGGTAAGGCCCAATAAAAGGGTCCTAGGCCCAATATAGCAAATTGGGCCATTAGTGGACCTATAGTGGGGCCATAGATGGACTTAGAAGGAATTGAGGTTTTGGGCCATGTTGTGTCTCACACCATAGTAGGGGTAAAATGGTCATTTTACCCATAGAGGAATCCCTATTTTGATTTAGTATTTATTTCCCATTATAGCTGGGAAGCAGCCGGAGCAGCAGTCAGGGATTTCTCATTCAGGAGTTCATCGGTCAGCATCATGAGGTGAGTTTCCTTCCAGTAGGAACGGGTCTACGGCCACAATGTCGGCCCATTTAGTTAGCAATAGTTCCGAACTTCGGTCCGATGCAGTAGTTAGAGTGCTTGACGTCTTTGTGATTCAAGCACGTTTTGTGTTATGTGTTCCAGACTCTGTTCCGATGTAGTATGCAGTATATGTTTTCATGCTAGTTGATATGTTTATGCTATGTTACGTTCGGTCAGTTCTAGACTTCGGTCCGATGCAGGGGACAAGGTCTCATTCAGTTCCGGACTTTAGTCCGATGCAGTTAGTTCCGGACTTCGATCCGATGCAGAAGGCAAGGCCCTGGTTAGTTCCAGACTCCGATCCGATACAGTTTCCAGACTTCGGTCCGATGCAGAGGGCAAGGCCCTGGTTAGTTTCCGAACTTCGGTCCCATGCAAAGGACAAGGCCCTGGTTAGTTTCCGGACTTCGGTCCGATGCAGTGGGCAAGGCCCAGTAGATGCTTTATATGTTATTGTATGGTATGTGGTAGTTTGGGGGAGCTCACTAAGCTTCGTGCTTAGAGTTTCAGTTTTGGTTTCAGGTACTTCCGTAAGTAAAGGGAAGAGCTAGGGATGATGGCATCACACACACCACAGCTTCAGTCTTTTCCTGGGAGTTTGTTTTGATTCATAGTTTGATTTGGCACAAATGTTCATGACATTTTATTATGGGTTGAGATAATTGACACATGGTTTTATGATGTGACGTTTGGAATATGATTTTATTATTATTTAAAACAAAAAATTTTGGGTCGTATTTTTGGATGTTACAAGTTGGTATCAGAGCCTTGGTTTGAGTGATTCGGACACACTTTCGGGTGTGTCTGAACTCAAACTAAGGAAGTGGTAAAATGTTTTCAAAAGAAAAGAGTTTTAGAAAAGTGAAAAGAAATTTGTAGAAAGAAAAGGACTTTGAAAAGATAAAAGGGGTGTGGTGCATGCGATCAGCCGAGCTCAAGTAAGTACTCCCAAATTACCCATATAAGTTTATGTTATGAGTTATCAGTTTCAGTAGAACAGCATGCTAGAATTGGGCTAAGGATCTAGGAGGATGCCTTATGTGCCTGCTATATGTGATTCAGCTTTATGAGAATTGCATGCTAGTATTGAGTAGACAGCAGTAGGATAGCCTGTTTAGGTTATGCCTGATAGTATGAGCTTACAAATTGCATGCTAGTATAGTTTCTCGTTATAAGGATATAATTGCTCGAGTAGTTTCCTGTGTCCGAATGCTACTTGCTTTGTGCTTTGTGGGACTCTGAATAATGGGTGTTAGCCATTAGGTGAATACGTCACGTCACATGGGATCATGGTTAAATAATCTCAGAGTGTTAGATTTGTCCCTGTTGCGCAGCTCTTATTTGAGTCTAACCGTTGTGAGGACGAGTATTTTACTTGAAGGATTATTTGAGCCTCGCCACATGTGATGGTATTTAGGTAAAGGTTAATTGGCATTACAAGGAGGCCTACAGCAGCTGAGGACTTGTTAGGTTGAGTTAGAGATTTCCCTAGGGCAAGCCTAGGATGAGAGTAGCAGAGATCAGTAGTAGTAGGAGTGACTTGGTGGAGTCGAGGCAGTACTTGAGGAAAGTACGGATATATGTGGAAGGTAGTATGGGCCCGTACTACTGAAAGCAGAGGATCCGTACTCGAATCAAGAAAAGCTAAGATGAGACCAAGAAGCTTGTGGTAGTAGTGATCCCTCGAGATATATCAGTGTTCCTGATGCATTTTTATGTGTTTCAGAATGGTGGTATTATTCCCTAGACTAGCAGTCGGTAGTTCAGGTGCTAGAGGGGGATCAAGACCAGGCCTGGAGGCCGGGCAGTTGGATGAGCAGACTAGGGAGTTTCTCTCTTCAGAGATTACTCGCACCATACTTGAGCAGACTCCTGTGATCTTCGGTTCAATCAGGGAGGGTATCTTAGAGTTGATGGATGAGAGGTTGAGCACCTTCCGTGCTGAGATGGCGGCCATGATGGGGTCGCGCACACTTACTTTTAGGGAGTTTCGGGCATGCGGAGCTCTGGATTATCACGGGGCGCGGGACCCCATAGCGAGTACTAGATGGTTGGCAGATGTGGCCAACGCTTTCCGCACTAGCAGGTGTCCCGAGGGGGACAAGGTCAGATTGGCGTCCTGTCTCCTGAAGGACAGGGCATGGGATTGGTGGGAGGAGGTTGGTCATGCCATTGGGAATGATGCAGCTTTGGATGCTATGACTACACTACTAGAAAAACAGCCTTTTACGACGCTCATTGCGCGTCGTAAAAGGCTCAGACGACGCGCAAATGCGCGTCAAGGAAGGCCCTGTCATAAAGAGAGACGACGCGCTTTTGCGCGTCGTCTATAGATGACGCGCATTTACGATGCTCATTTACGACGCGCTTTTACGACACGCATTGCATATCAAGGAAGGCCATGTCATAAAGGAAGACGACATGCATTCGTGTGTCGTAACCTTACGACGCGCGTGTTAATGACACGCAATGCGTATCAAGAAAGCCATTGTTAAGAAAGGCCATGTCTTAAATGAAGATGACACACATTTTTGCGTATCATAATTTTAAATGTTTAAAAAAAATATCATAATTTATAGATTTACTAATTTTCAAATTAAATTTGCATTTCATGTATCATAATAGAAAATAAAATACCATTTACAAAAAATACAATCCATTGCACAAAAGTTAATGTCATACAAAATACAAAATAAAATACAATAATAAGAAAGATAATTCATTGGACTAACATGTCAAATACAAATAATCATCCCTAATTATATAACCTAATATTGCATTGCTATTAAGGGACATCATCATAACTCACTGAAGGTCTTGGAACAATGTTCTCGTCATCAACTTGTATATCTGCCAAAAACTTGAAAAAACAACAAATATTTAATGTTTATATATATATAACAAGAACATATTGAATGCATAAAAGGCAGCCAAGTTCGGTTTCACCCTATTCATCACAATAGGCAGCCAATAAGCATGATAGCATTAGAAAAGAAATAACCCCCAAAAACAGCCTAATATATATTTATTAGAATGTGTTAAGAGCAACAAGTTACCTTTAGAAACAGGTCATAAGCAATAGCCCTTCCAATATCTCAGACTTTCTCAAAAGTATTGTGAGGCTCATTATATGAATGATACTAACAAAGTACAAACAACTAACACATTAATGTTTAGTGTACTTTTAGTTAAAAAAAAAAAGATAAATAATATCATTTATATCTGACATCCTAGAGGGAGGTAGAAGATAATGTACTTCCTTTTCTAATCTTTCTACAATTAATTAAAACATGAAGCATTTATAAATTAATATTATATTAAAAATTAAAAACATTTATATTTATAAATTAATTTATACCTGGTAACCCTGGTAAACATGCAGTGCCTCCAGCCAACACAATTGTCCTGAACCAAGTATGATCGGTTCTCATTTTGGCAACATAGCAACGCTTAGTGCAATCTGCCACTGCCTCATGTAGACCCATTGTATTTCTGAGACCAAAAAGGTAAAATTGGAAATTATATAAAAATAATTCAAGGGCATAAGTTTATAGATATTAAAGTGGATAAAAGATTACCTCTTTCAATGAGCGAACAGTGTATAATGAAGAAACATGTAGATCTCTTAGACGAAGTTGCTCTTTAAGGTATTCAGTAAGCTTTAAGCCTCCAACACCTATAGATACAACACCCACTTTATGCACCACTTTACCATGTAAAACTGGAAATGACACAAATGGAATCAGAGTTAAGTAATTTACTTTTGGCTTTATAAAGTTTTATAAATCTTGTGATTATTTTGGGTTTGAATGAATAACACACTTTTGGATACTTGGATTGCAATCCTGTTGTATAGAAAGTGTAGATCACTCCTTCACATTTTGCAGAACTGGTACACTTAGTTGATAGTGACTCATTTGTTGAATCTATTCATAATCCAATCTTCTAACAATAACAAGAACAAAAAGAGCACAAATTCTTTAGCTTTTCTGATAGATCACCACTAGGCATCACCAAATGTAAGATGTGAAAAAGGATACGATAAGTTGAAAGAAGCTGATCATCTTTTAGAACTTTGCCACGATAGATTAAACGTTGCTGTTCAGACAATACAGTAGTAACAGAAGCAATATGTTCTTTAGTGCAGGAACAGGTACCTATAAGAACATATACAAAGTAAGAAAAATAGAAACAAGGTAGCAACTTTGAGAAAAACACAAACAAGTTCTAACGCTTCATCATCCATTCCATTCTAGACAAAGGACGAAATCATGGTGTTCCATGAAACAATATCTTTTTCATTCATATTTTTAAAGATATTTGAGCTTCCTTGAATGGAATTACACCTGATTAGAGTCACCCCTTGACGAAAAGCAAAAAAAGACTAATGATATAAGCATAGGTGTAGGATTGCATATACCTGATATGACTCAACCCAATGGTCCACGTGTCCCCTATAGTTCTGTAACACTAATGATATAAGCATAGGTGCAGGTTCTGTGTTTTCATCTTGCAAGTTTTTTTTCACTCATTACCTAATACAAAAGAGAAAGAAGTCATTGAAAAAAAAATTACAAGTATGGAAGTAATACATATATAGGTTCTTAAGTGTCAAGGATTACAGAAGATATTTTTTTTAACGCATCACAGTGTTTTTTTTTATTTTTTTAAGGAAAGATAATATATATATTTTTTTAAGGAAAAATTACAAGTATGGACATTCCTTAGACGAGCACTTGCACTTGTCATGGTCGTTGTTTCTATCTGAGCAACATGAATAGATCCACCAATTTCTTCAGATAGAGTGAGTGGACCCCCTTTTTCAGCTATTTTTTTCACAATAACTCACCAATGTGGGGTTCATCTGTGATAGCATCTCATGCACCTGTAACCCCAAAAACACTTGAATCACACCAAGACTTTGATCTTTTGTATGTGCAGAGGACATAATTACCCTTGTCATATGGATTAGTCTTAGAAAGCTTTGTAAGTAAAAGAAAATGGGCCACCTATAAAGAGATGAGACATAATTGATCAATGTTTATCCACCTGTAAAGAGATGAGATTAATTATTATTGTAAGAAATAAATAAAAAATAAATAGTGTTTCTTACATGCGACACTCACGAGTTCATTGTATTGGTGATCTTAGACTTTTCTTCTGACTTCATTGTTGCAAAACACATGCAAAAATACTTTGATTAGTTCCAATAGTAAATTAAATCAACAAGACAATGTAAATATCATAGAATTTTATTATCATTAAGGTATTGTTATAATCTGAATTAATCCAGAAATCATTAAGAAAAAATCACTTATTACCACTAACCTCAATTAATCCAGAAATCATTAAGAACAAATCGCTTTAACGAGCACAAAATTGACAAAAAGATGAAAGTTAATAGTCAATAGCACAAAATATTAAATTTAAAAAAAAGCCAATGTATTAGGGTGAGCATATAGTGCATATAAAGGTAGCAACTCACATTAAACATAGTCTTAACATTTTAGATGATCGAATATAGATATCAGAGTTGAAAATAATTAATAGCACCAAAAAAGTCTTGTAAGCCTCACATACCTTTCTGATGTTCTTCTTACGATCTTCAGATTTATACAGTTTTCTCTCTATCACTACAGCAATAGCAGTTTATACCTGTGTGGAGTTAGTGTATATTAAATGTAATTTACTTAGAAATGAAGTTGCGAAACTTCCTTCAATGTCATCAATCTCCTCAACGTAAATACACACACACAAAGATCAAGATGATGAAAAACAACAAAAAATAGAAAATGAAAACACAAGAACACTATTTTACCTCATATACACCAGCTGGTATTACAGCTATCATGGCTAAAGATGTCATATACTATTTGTTATGTAGAGTATTGAAGTTAGGAAAAAGGGGGGTTTGAGACGTTTGACATAAAGAAAAAAAAAGATATATATATATATATATATATATATATATATATATATATATATATATATATATATATATGGTACGAAGCTGCATACTTCGAAAGAGGTGATTTTCAAGGCTTCCTCGAAACATGAACTCATAAACAAGCAATATGTGGGCATCTTCACAGCAATACCCAATCAATTTCACCAAATTGGGATGTCTGAGCTGAACAAGGAAATTAACTCCAGTCTACAACACAAAACGCCATTACAGATATGGATTAATGGTATAAGGAAGATAAAACAAAACAAAGAATTAGTTGCTGCATTGACAGAGAACTAGAGGAGCATACAAGCCATTATTTGTGACCTTGAAGACCCTCCTTGTTGAGAACCTTAACAGCTAGAGGAAGAGATTTGAGACCAACCCGAACATTCTCATCAATATAGCCCTTGTAAACAGTCCCAAAAGAAACAGCCTTTAAGTCAAAAAGAAATAGCACCTGTTATAATCTTGATCTTTTTAAACAAGTTGTAATGATCGAATAACATAAATAATGGGAGCCATAGAACCATGAAAACCTTCAAGAAACCAATCCCACATAAAAATCCCTATCAGAAAATGTAAAATTTTACAAAAAAACGTAAATATTTCAATAATCTCCAAAATTGTATTCCTTCAAAACTATATAGGTTAAAATTGCATTTAGCTGCCATAGGATGTGTTGAATCAAGAATAACATACATTCATAAACATAACCATATGAAGGAGGTGATAGAGGACGGACAAGCTAGGGCAAATAAGAGTGGAGCAGGGCGGTGAAGCAGTAGTGTAGGCCACGAACCACAAATGAGGCACGATTCTGTCTCCCAAAATTCTGACTTGATAAACTGTGGGATAGACAACGAGATTTTTTGATTTTTGGGAATGAATCAGAGCAGGTATCCTTAGAGGATTTGAGTTTAGGTGACCGACGTTTGTCTCGAGGAAGGGAGAAGAATCGGTAAGTGCCAAAGGGATATAGGAATGAGAAAGAATGGGAAATCTAGATATCGCTTTTCCAGTTAGGGTTTTATAGAGGAGAATACAAGAAGAATCAAAATCGAAATCAGAGGCATGAATAAAGGAGAAAGAAGAGCAATTTTTACAATACAGAGGAGTGCACCTTACCAAATAATCCTTCGATTGACTGCAATTTGGAGTCAAATCGATATCGATTCAGCTAGATAATACCAATTTCAATTTCAATTTCATCTACTCCAAGTCTTTGTGGCCTATAAAACACGGTGTGTGGCTAATGATGGACAACCTGCGAGCTGCTGGTTTGTACCCAACGCTTTACCAGCAATACCTTCTCCCGATACGAGCTGCTGGGTTGAGGTCGCCTCAAAGAACCCTAAAATCTCTGGATCGAACACATACGAAGCGGATTCAATCACATAAATGGGCCCGGATCTTCCTTCAAGAGGGTTCAAATCTGTTTCCTCTGGGGAAACAATTGGATCAAATCTGTTTCCTTTGGGGAAACGACTGGAAACCATATACAGATTAGGGTTTACAGAGAAAATGAGAAGGAGAGATTGAAGGTTTTCGGCTGGTGGCGTGCTTTCCTTGATCGACGTCGACGATCGGGAATGGCAAGTAACGATGGTCGAAGTGTGAGGGAAGAAGTAGGTGGCAGTCAATGTCGGCAGGGGGAAGGAAGGAGCGTGATAATTAGGGCAAGAGGGAAAGGAACAAAAAGGAAGGCGGGGATTTTAATTTTTTAGGATTTCATTTTCCCCCTCAGCTACTAAAGGATGGAAGGCGCGTTTCCATTAAAATTTATAAAGTGACATCCTCAGACGGCACACGTTTTATTATAGGCGCCCTCCGTGTTTTTTTTAGACACTAATTTAAGGGTACGCAAAAATGCGCGCCCTAAATCCTTAAAATTTATAGAGAGATGACATTATTTTTAGATCACACTCGTTTGCATATCGTGAATCAATGCGTATCATAAATTGCGCGTCGTAAAAGGTTGTTTTTCTAGTAGTGCTACCAGGTTCAGAGCTGAGTTCGCACCAGTCATTGAGGTGCAGCAGTTAGCCAGAGAGTTTCAGGATCTTACCCAGACTACAGAGACAGTGGCAGAGATTACCGCCAAGTTCAGGGAGAGGGCTCTTCTTGTTCCACAGTATGCAGTTGATGAGGAAATGAAGAAAGCCCGTTATCATGAGATGTTGCGGAGTGATATCCGCCAGTTCGTGAGCCGGTCCAGCTATAAGACGCTGGATGACATGATTGCTAGGGCGAGAGAGAGAGAGAGAGAGAGAGAGAGATTGACCTTGAGATGGAGAGAAAGAGGAAGTCGGAGGCGGCTCCAGGTTCACGGAGTTCGGGAAAAAAGCCCAAGGGTTCAGATCACAGAGCTAGGAGTCAGCAGATCCATGCTAGGTGTGGCAAGTGTGGGAGATTGCACGATGTGGCGTGCAAAGCAGGGAGTGCTAGCTGCTACAAGTGTGGTCAGACTGGGCATATGAGCAGAGATTGTATAGCCACTACTACTATCGTTGCAGCATCAAATCTGATTTGCTTCCATTGCAATCAGAGGGGACATAAAAAGTCCCAGTGTCCGAGTTTAGTTGCTGCAGGGAAGGTGTCAGCACCTGCCCCTGCTACTTTGAGGATTACAGATGGCCTTCAGGGCCGAGCTGAGACTCCAGTGGCAAAGAGTAGGGCTTTTCAGTTGACAGCAGAGGAGGCGCGAGCGACTCCTGACGTGGTGACGGGTATGTATTTTTTTCTCCATACCTCTGCATTTATTATTGATTGTTTCTTATGGTTATATGTTTTGTATAGGGTCGTTCCCAGTGAACGGCATATCAGCTACCGTATTGTTTGATTCGGGGGCTACCCGATCATTCGTCTCTCTTGCACTTAGCAAAAGGTTTAGTAGAGCTCCAGGGGAGCTAGATTGTCCACTTGAGGTTGAGATAGTAGCTGATAAGACCGTTAGGGTTGCAAGGATCATAGAGGGTGTTCCCTACAGTTATTCGATGAGTAGTTTCCGGTGGACTTGGCCCCTATTCCCTTGCGGGGGAATAAGGTCATAGTAGGCATGGATTGGCTGCGCCCCAATGGGGCGGTGATAGATTGTGAGCTACAGTTGGTGAGGGTTCGCACTCCCAGTGGGGGAGAGTTAGTGATTAAGGGCGAGAGGCCACAGTGCAGACCAGTTTTATGTTTAGCGGCGACAGCGAGGTGCTATTTTCAGCAGGGTTATGCTAGTTATGTTGCATATGTTTTAGATGCCCGAGAGAAGGGCAAGACAATAGTTGATGATGTTCCGGTAGTGCGAGACTACCTGGATGTATTTCCAGAGGATTTGCCTGGAATACCTCCCGAGAGGCAGGTCGAGTTCGGTATTAACCTAATCCCTGGTGCGGCTCCGATAGCCAAGGCACCATATCGGTTGGCTCCCCCAGAGATGTAGGAGTTGTCTACGCAGCTGCATGAGCTGTTAGACAAGGGTTTTATCAGGCCGAGCAGTTCGCCCTGGAGAGCACCGATTTTGTTTGTGAAGAAGAAGGATGGGTCGCACCGTATGTGTATTGGTTATCGGGAGTTAAATAAGGTAACGGTGAAGAACCGTTATCCACTCCCAAGGATAGATGATTTTTTTTATCAACTGCAGGGAGCGTCTTGGTTTTCCAAGATTGATTTACGCTCCGGGTATCATCAGATGAGAGTCAGGGATGAGGATGTGCAGAAAACTGCTTTTAGGACCCGGTATGGTTATTATGAGTTCGTGGTGATGCTGTTTGGGCTCACCAACGCCCCAGTCGCGTTCATGGACCTCATGAACTGCGTATGTAGGCCGTTGTTGGATCGATCGGTGATAGTATTCATTGATGACATCTTGGTTTATTCCAAGACTCAAGAGCAGCACGAGGAGCACCTGAGGGGGTGCTAGAGATTTTGAGGAAAGAGAGACTTTTCGCGAAGTTCTCCAAGTGCGAGTTCTGGTTGTGTGAGGTGCAGTTCCTTGGACACCTCGTCAACCAGAAGGATATTTTGGTAGATCCGGCCAAGATATAGGCCGTGATGAAGTGGGAGGTCTCGAGGTCTCTATCTGAGATTCGGAGCTTCCTAGGTCTGGCAGGGTACTACAGGAGGTTCATTCAGGATTTCTCCAAGATAGCAGTACCGCTCACCCGACTAACTAAGAAGTCGGTGGTGTTTTGCTGGGGGCCTGAGCAGCAAGCAGCATTTGAGACCCTCAGGCAGAGATTGTGCGAGGCACCGATTCTTACCCTGCCAGATGGAGTAGAGGATTTTGTGGTTTATTGTGATGCTTCGATCACAGGTATGGGAGCAGTGTTGATGCAACGAGGCCGTGTGATAGCTTACGCCTCGAGACAGTTGAAGCCTCATGGGGCTAATTATCCTACACATGATTTAGAGTTGGGGGCGGTGGTGTTCGACCTCAAGATTTGGAGACATTACCTCTACGGGGTCCGTTGTACCATTTACACGGATCACAAGAGCTTGAGGTACCTCATGGATCAGTCGAATCTAAACATGAGGCAGAGGCGATGGTTAGATGTGTTGAAATATTACGACTGTGAGATCTTATATCACCCAGGGAAGGCCAATGTAGTGGCCAACGCCTTGAGCCGCAAGGCAGCAGCGGCCCCAATCAGAGATATTTGTTTGAGGATGACAGCAATTACTCCATTGTTGGAGCAAATCATAGAGGCGCGGGCCGAGGGCCTCAAGGAGGAGAGACAGAAGTGTGAGAGGATTGTAGGCCGAGTAGCTTCTTTTGACTACGATAGTCGAGGATTGTTGACTCTTCATGGGAGAGTATGGGTACCGTAATGGGGCGGATTACGGCAGGTGTTGATGGATGAGGCTCATAAGCCTCGATTTTCCATCCATCCAGGGGCGACGAAGATGTATAGGGATCTTCGACCCGATTATTGGTGGCCCTACATGAAGCAGGATGTCGTCTGGTATGTGGAGAGGTGCCTGACCTGCAGGAAGGTCAAGGCAGAGCACCAGAGGTCCCATGGCAAGTTGCATCCGTTAGACATTCCAGTGTGGAAATAGGAGGATATCACCATGGATTTCATCACTAAGCTCCCTAGGACCGCATGTGGGATGGATTCGATTTGGGTTATTGTGGATCGGTTGACGAAGAGTGCTCATTTTATACCGATCTAGGAGAGTAGATCGACGGAGAAACTAGTTGATATTTATGTGCGAGACGTTGTGGCACGACATGGAGTGCCTGTATCTGTGATGTTTGACCGAGATGTCCGTTTTACTTCCAGATTTTGGAAGCGGTTTCATGACGAGATGGGCACTCGTCTCCATTTCAGCACCGCTTTCCACCCCTAGACGGACGGACAAAGTGAGAGGACGATTCAGACCCTGGAGGACATGCTTCGGGCATGTGTCCTAGATTTCGGTGGCAGTTGGGATACATATCTTCCGTTAGCTGAATTTTCGTATAACAACAGTTACCATGCGAGTATTGACCGACCTCCCTTCAAGATGTTATATGGGAGGAAGTGTAGGACCCCGATTTGTTGGGGCGAGGTCGGTCTGCATGTCATTGGGAGCACCGAAGTGGTGCTCAAGACGACAGAGTTGATCCAACAGGTACGCAGTAGGCTGTAGACTGCGTAGAGTCGGCAGAAGAGTTACGCCGACAGGAGGCGATCAGACTTGGAGTTTCAGGAAGGCGACATGGTCCTCCTGAAGGTATCACCTTGGATGGGTGTCATCAGATTTCGGAAGAGGGGAAAGCTGGGCCCCAGGTTCATTGGTCCTTTTAGGGTTCTAGCCTGGGTGGGTCGGGTTGCTTACCGGTTGGATCTTCCGGTAGAGCTTAGCCAGATCCACAACACTTTCCATGTTTCCCAGTTGAGGAAGTGTTTGGTGGATGACTCAGCAGTTGTTCCCTTAGAGGAAATTCAGGTTGATAAAAGTTGAATTATATTGAGAGGCCGGTCGCGATTCTGGACCGGAAGACAAAGACCTTGAGGAACAAGGTAAATCAGCTAGTGAAGGTGTAGTGGCAGCACCGGAAGGGTTTAGAGTGGATGTGGGAATCAGAGGAGGAGATGTAGGAGCATTACGCGGAGTTATTTTCAGATTCAGTGGCAGCAGACTTCGAGGATGAAGTCTGATTCAAGTAGGGGAGATTTGTAACGATCGTTTCCGAGGTATAAAAGTTATTTAATTCTTCAGTTTAGTTTGGGCCATAACTGAATTAATATTGTAAGTGGACCTTTATTTTGGGCCGAAGAGTAAGCAGCCCATAAGATGTAAACGGGGCGTAACCCCCTTGTACACTGGGCGTACTGCTTAAATGAAACGCGGGGAGGTTGAGCGTACGCGCAACGTACCTTAAGGTACACCCAACGTACGCGACCAGGTGGCAAACCCTAATTTTAGGGGTTGAGGCGTATTTAAACCCCATTATAGCCTCCCATTTGGACTCCACGCTTATCATTCACTCCAGAGAAACCCTAGTTCAACCTCTTTTGCT